TGGCCCTGGCAATGCTGGGATAATGGGTGGGATCCATGATCTTAGAGGCCTTTCCCACCCTGAATGATCCCATCACTCTGTGCTCTGAGCCAGGGGCTGGGCCGTGTGATGGTGACCGAGCAGCAGCGTTTATGGGAAGTGTATTTAATAGTGTAGCCAAGAAAAGTTAAATTAAAATGGATGGGTAAGGCAGAGGGTTCTGGGCAGGCTGAAACAGGGATGGTACCTGTGACACTCTGGCTTTGGTGTGGTCTGGCTTTCATCAGTATCCAGAATTGACTCACCCTTTTTTTCCTTTTCTGGGCAGAGACCCAGCACAGCTGAGAGTGCACTAGTTAGGATAGCAAAGGGGTATGCACCCAAGATTCCCTTCTGGTTTCAGCAGAAATCCCTTTTTATAAAGACACATGAGCTGTCAGCATGGTCAGCTGGAATCTGTCCTTGTTTCTCTTTACCCCACTACTCCATCTTCTCCCCCACTTTGGTATGTGTGTGTGGGGGTGTTACACTTGATGCTTAGAACTGGGCTATTTTGGTGTTCACACCCAAAACTGTGATCCAGAAACTTACCAGTAGCTTTCACATACAACCCTTGTCCCAAATTTACTTCTTGTTCTTTCAAGAAGTAGCCACATAGTGTGTTCAGAAATGCATCTCCCAAGTTTACAGTCCTACTGACATTCCCTCTCTGAAGCTGGGTAGTCATCTCCACTATCACAGCAATCACTGCATCTTTTTGCTCTCTCCCTAGCATCAAGAGCAGCATCAGTGATGTTGCTAAATTTCATACAGATGTGTTTTCTAATGGGGTCCATTGGTAGCTTATGCTGTTGCTCTGACAGAGACCTTTACAGCAGGAGAATCAAAGGGTCTAAAAATTATAAAAGTGTTATGTCCCAATTTCTGAGCACTGTGGCAACCCTACAGTGGTGCTAACCTGACCAAAAATCCCCAGGAAGTAGCAAAATGCTATTTGGCCCCATTTTAGAGATCTGGTATCAAGGCACATTGCAAGATCAAGTAACTTGCCAAGCCATGGCAGATGTTCCCATCCAGAAAAGAGGGCTCCCTAGATCCTAGACAGCCTTGTTGCCACAGCATGATGTTTTTCTCACGTAGCATCCTGCACAGCTGAGTTGACACAGGTTTTCCTGCACCAGTAACTTGGAAGTAAATACACGGGGGCACACATTTCTGAGAGAAAAGTTTCAGTTCTGTACTTTTCCCCTTTTTATCATGATGCAAAATCAACCTTGTTGTTGTTGTTTTAGTTGCATGCAGCTTGTCATGGTGCTAAAGAGGCATGAACTCGTCAGGTTTGTGTGTGTAAGGGGGAGTGTGTGTAGCAAGGTGGCTGCAGCTCTGTGTGCAATCAGATGGCAAACTGCCTGCTGTAATCAGTGGGACAAGAATTCAAGTGCCTCCTGAACACAGCAGTAGAAGGCTTTCTGCACAGCAGTGGAAATGGCTGCCACTGTTTTTGGAGGAGAGGAAGGGCGCCCATTACAAAAAGCTTTCCCACCAGTCTGCTGCCTTGGGTACTCCTCAGAACTGCAGGAAGTGGAAACGCCACTTTTGAACTGTCAGCCTTCAGAGGAGAAGTCACCTGGGTTTCACCTGATCAGTTTGGAGGATCTCTCCAACTTTGCAATGAAATTGGAAAAAAAAAAAAGTTTTGGGGTGGGAGTGCAGCCACTGATGGTTTGCAGTGAATGCTGCAAGCAAACATGCAGTTGGGCTGACAGTTATCATTCATATAGCTCTCTAATTGCTGAAATTGTCTCTGGTGTAGTGCAACTCCTCAGCTCAGGACTGTAGGTACAAATAAGACCTCTGTGTGAAGGACAGGTGGTGCTATAAACTATGTTTCTTGTGACAAAAATGGCACTTTCTGTAAATAAATAAAAAAAAAACCAAACATGAGAAGTATAAACTTATCTTAGGAATCTTCCAGCTCATCCTTCCCAAAAAACACCCCACAAAAAAAAACCAAAAAACAAAAAACCACCCCAAAAAAAAACAACAAAAAAAAAACCAAAAAACCCCACCCCAAAACAAAACAAAAAACAAAACAAGAAAAAAAAACCAAATCAAAAAAACCCAAAACCCCACAACCAACCAAAACCAAATAAACCAAAAAAACCCCTAGAATACTACATTGTTGATTATGCTAAAGTCTTTATATGGAAAGATTTTACCGTAGGCTAATAAGCACTTAGCAGTGTATTAGTGCTTTTTTCAAATCTCTTGCAGCCTTAGTTTCCCCTACAAACTAAAAATGCAACTCAATCCCAGTATCTGGCTGAAGAATTATAGATGTAAATTTATTTTGGGCTAATAGGAGATTTCTGTGACTTTTTTGGTGTTTGAATTGGATTTGAGATAAAAAGGAAGGCAGAGTTGTAGTTGGAAGAGAATATATTTTAGATCATTGGTTATCTCAGAAGGACAAGATGTAATTTATTTTAAAGCAGTTTTCAGAATTTAAAATGATCCATCAAAAGGCAGTAGAAGTTTAAATTTGCATAAAAAATCTGCAGGAGAAATTGATGGCAGTTCAGCCTAAAGGCAGAATGGCCTTGCTAAAACCCTAAGTAGATAAAACAGGAGGAAAAAAATCCCATTTCAGAGATATATTCATACATTTAATGAGGTTACCCTGCACAAAGTCCACAGTATTTTATTGCAGAGAGTAGCTTGGAGCAATGAAAATAACATCCAAAGCCTCATTAGAAAGCCTTTACCATATGGCCAGTTTTGTCTTCTGTGCATCCTACACCAACTCACCACACTGTTACATGTTTGTCCTACATGCTGAGATCTGTACATTCTGAAGAAGATTTCCAATTGATTTTTCAATACCATGAAGGTACCTTTCCAAGTAATTGAGGGCTCCTACAGAGTTGATGACTTATATCAACCACTGATAATGATTTAAGTAGAGAGCATTTATAATCTGGATTGTGTGAAGTAAACAGAAATATCTGCAGCAGCTGGGATTCTACAGACACTTATATAGACCATGTACACACATGAAAATGACTGATGGTTTATACAGCTCAGCATACAATAGCCTGTTGATCTCTGCATTTTACGTGATGCCACATTATAGAAGCACCTCATAACACCTCTGGAAATGAAGAGCTGTAACTGCCCAATTCTATGTAACCATAAACACTTCAAAAATTAGTTTGTCAAAGATCACAGGTACCAGAAGGACAATTTAGCTGATTCCTAAATTTTCTTGCTGAAAGCTTTCTTTTATTCAGTCTGGGAAATTATAAAGAAAAGGCTGAACTTCTCCTCAACTGTACATGACATCCCTTAATGCAGGTCCCAGGGTAATGTAATACTCTTTCCATGGTGAGAGCACCATCATGCCTCTGAGGAAGGATCTCAAATCACTTTTTAAGCCTCAGTACTATTGTGAGATATTTATGATACATGACAGTGACCTTCATTTTACAGAGGAGGTATCTGAGGTGCAGAACATTTAAAAATCTTGGGCAAGAAAACAAAATGAGGTACTGGAGGAGGAAAGAACACAGAGTCATTGATTTTTCAGTCCTGTGCTTTAACAGCTAGAAAATGCTCCTCCTGAGAATAGGGAAGGAAAGAAAATAGGGGAGAAGTGGGAATAAGAAACTAGAGGTGTTGGATGTAAGAATTAAGAGTCATTGACAGAATGGTGTACGACACGTAAAGGGAGATCACAGTAGCTTCCAGATGAAATACACCCACAGAGGGAATGATGTGCAGCCTGGCAGGGTAAGCTCTCAAATGAAGTGTCAGCCATTACATGGAAATGTGGATTTGAGATCTATCCGTTTGGACATCTCCAGACAATTTATACCCATGACCAGGTAATACTGGCTGCTGCTCAGTATCTGATCAGCTGAAGAAATCTTTACAAGCAAGTGTGAATGATGGCACTGCAGGACAGAGATGGGGCAGAACTGAATGTGCTGGGGAGGCAGCCCCATACATCTTGGCTATCCCACTGCCTTCATTTAAGAGTACAAAATCATCAGTCAAAGCTGATCCTATGGAAGTTACCTCTAAAGGAGAATCAGGGAGCTCAACTAACTGTTACCTGCAAACTCATTTAAAAATACGTATTTCTAAACCAAACCCCTTGCTCACAGGGGAAGGTTTCCAAAATATTCAGCACTGGCCCCAAACAGCTTCTTCAGGAACTAGCAACAAGAATGTTTTCAATTCAGTGGGAGTACAACTCATCCAAAGTTGTGCCTTTTGGACAATCCCACAGAGATTATTTTTTGTCAAATGTTCTCCTTAGTTTTTAACAAGTCACATCCTTCAAACACAGAAAATATTGATCTAATTTCTTCATTTACATACAGAAATATGTCAATGGAAAGTGCAATCCACCACCATTCTGTTCTTTTGTGTACTCTTTTATTTTTTAAAAAAATGGTGGCTTCAATATTCTTTTGGTAAAAAAAACAGTTCTTCTATCTCACATGGGTGATCTGTGCGAGGATGAAGTTACAAATCACTGTTTGTCACAAAATCAGGCCATGCAAAATTTCATTTGGAAAATGTGCCACACAGAGTTGGGTACTGCATGTGAGGTTTAAAAACACAAATGAAACAAAATAAGAATTCCCAAACAGAAGAGGTTATAAAACTGGATAGCCAAAATACATCCTGTTTGAAAGCCAGCCAGATTGTTTGGATAAAGTTGGCATGTTTGAAGACATGCGGCCCTGATGGATCATGCTCTCTTTACAGCCAGATCTCTTTACAGCTGTGGTCTGAACACTTTGTAACAGCTGGATTTGTCAGGCTTTTGAAAAGTTACTCAGGCCACAGACTGAGTGGGCTCGTTTGGGTGTCCATGTTATAAGGTGCTAAAATTAGAAATGCCCATGCTTTAGGTCAGGTATCTCTTGAAATACTTTATTACCCTTCCCTTGGAATATGGAAGTTGAAAGCAGGCAGCCTTGTGGCAGAGAGAGAAATAAAGACAACTGCAAAACTGTGTTGTTTTTATTTTAAACATGCAAAATACAGTTCATGCATCTGCCATTTTGAAAAATCTCTCAGTTCATAGCAGATTAAACCAAAGACATTTTGGCTATCAACTCTCAATAAATATTTCAAAATGCTTTACAGTGTAAATATAAGAAATTTAGCAAAATTTCAACAAACCTGTATAAAAACCAGATACAGATAACTTTTTATTTCAAGGCAACATGCTGTAATGTAAAGAGTTCACTTTTTTTTTCTGGATTTTTTTTCTCATAAAAAGGTTTCAACAATACAACCGCTTAACAGATTTAAGCCTTTAGGCTACACATGCAAAAAAAAAAAAAAAAAAAGGTATTTTAGTTAAAAATCACCAAAACGTGCTATTTTTTTGTTTCATTTTTTAAATACAGTAGTTGTAGATAGTAGCATTTTTCTTTTTAAATTTTGTAAAAGAGTGCAGGCAGGTTCATGGAGCTAGTGTCCTGGAAGACTCGTACTCTGACATACATTTTGGTTTTATCCCTTTGCCATTGTAATAGTCCACGACTTGGTTTGGAACTTCAGCCAAAACGCTTTTTGCTAGAGCAGCTGGGGATGCCTGCAGGAAATGGTAGAAAACACAAGCATTAACCTGGCTAGAAGTGCCGTGGGTTTCAGAGGCATTGGTGCCATGAGATCAAGGAAGTATGGTACAGAGATGGAAAGCAAAAAAGACTTAAAGTGAATCACACTATTGCTGGAAACCAATTTTATGAGTCAGTTTAGGTATGGAGCTGTAGCTGCCTCAAAGTATACTAAGCCAAAAATGCTCTGCGTGATTCCAGGTCCATTTGGACAATTTTAAGTTCAGGGTAACTGAACTTCCCTGCACTCTGGGAGGCCACCATATCACAATAAAAAGCTGCAAAGACTTCATTCATCAGTGTTCAGCAAGGAACCCCGCAGAGCTCCAAGCTGAACATAAATGGACAACACTGTGAAAGGGAGGCCTTCATCACCATTCTGTTCCTCAGAATCTGGCATGGGGTTTTAATGGCTGGGAAAGTTTTTAATTCAATAAAAAATACTTTGTGTTTATTGGAATTAAGCCATGGTTACCAGAAAGTTTCAGTCCTAGGCTTGGTGGAGACTTTAAAGCTCTTCCTACAATGGAAAAATGGCAGGTGTCCACCAGACTAAGAACTGATGACCCCGAAAGCTAGGGACAGATATAGAGATGGCCACTGGCTTTCAGCCCAGGCAGGGAGGAGGGCCCCCTGTCAGTGCAGTGAGAAACCCTGCCCTCCATCAGCCACACAGAGTCGCTGCCTCACACCCTGAAATGCTTCATTTTAAGCAGAGGGGGCTGTGGATGTTTTGTGGGCAACCATTCCCTGTGTGTGCTGCATGAACATTCCTCAGTCCCTGAAGTCAGCAGTGACAAAGCTGGACTCATTCTCCCATGCACCCTCTTGCCCCATGTTTTGGATTTTCTTGTTTCTAAGTATTTTAAGCAGAGGGGGCTGTGGATGTTTTGTGGGCAACCATTCCCTGTGTGTGCTGCATGAACATTCCTCAGTCCCTGAAGTCAGCAGTGACAAAGCTCCCATGCACTCTCTTGTCCCATGTTTTGGATTTTCTTGTTTCTAAGCGTTTGGGTAGAGCTGGTTCCAAGTCCTCAGGAGCCAGCCTTCTTGGCCATGTTTCCTTTGAGCCCACCACAAAAACACAGTAAAAATTCAAACATTTAAATGTCATTTTGAGAGGTTTATATTGATGTATTTATCTCCAGAGAGTGCAGACTGCATCACAGACGATGCATGGGAACTCAACCTGTGGCTGGATCACATTTCTTCTGCAGATCAAGTGCTTTTTCCCAAATTAATGAACACTTTCCTCCTCACTGTCTGTAGTGTTATCAGCCAAGCTGCAAAACTACCATGTCACAAAGTAGTTGTATTGACTATTTTTTGCCCTACTCTGTTTCATCGGGTGGCATCCTTATCCTTACAGAGTCTTAAAATTTAGCTTACATAGCATGCAAATGGTAATCTATTTGTAGGCACACTAATACAAAGGTGAAGAAAACTCCAGATTATTAGAAATTCCAGTATCAAATATTATAATACTGCAAATACAAAGATAATGCTGGTAAAACCAGAAACAGTTGGTTTTTTCCCCCCCTGTATTGTTGTATTTTGACTCATGTATTGCAAATACAAAGATAATGCTGGTAAAACCAGAAACAGTTGTTTTTTTCCCCCCCGTATTGTTGTATTTTGACGCATGTAGGGGATTAGTAAAAAATAAAATTAACTGCTGTGACATTTATATCAAAATATTTGTGCAGCCAAAAAAGCCTGGAACATTTCTGCATGAACAAGCTGGCAAAGCATAGAGCATACTTTATGTGTCAGTGCAGCAAGTGTTCTAAGGTGTTACACAGTAACAGAACCCATTCACTTTAATCCTGAAAAGGGAAATGCATGGTTTTCCAGAGTTGCCCTATTCTTGCCTAAACCTGTTTATGGAATCATGAAACTATTTGGGTTTGAAGGGACCTTAAAGTTCATCTAGTTCCAACTAAAATAATCAGAAAATACCCCTTGGAATCACACAAATGGCTGATTTCTACAATACTATTGCAAATTACTGTTTTTTTAAATCTCCTTCCCAGTGTGTCAAAGCTGTACATACCTTAGCCTGTCTCTGTGCTGTCTTACCAAAAATGCAACCCTACAGAGAGGTAAAAAAGGGGAGTGGGGGAAGAGTCCCGAGCCAGTGCTGCACACACAAGCTGTAGCAATCTGGAAGCTTTGCTCTGTCTTTAAAAATGCTGGGCAGGAGCATTGCTATCAGCTTCTCTGGATCTGTGCAGTTCACATGTTCTGAGCTTTGGGCCAACAGCACTCACTGCTGTGCATCCTCCTCCCTCCGCCGCTTCTCTTTTCTGATGCCACATCCATTCCTCCTGAAGGAAGGGTCAGCCCTTCACAACAGGCTCTGTCAGGGCTCAGATGCACAGCTGAATCACTGCCACTTCAGCAGCTCTCAACTGAAAAGTCTTTTATTGAGGTTTAGGCAAAAACATTTACTGTGCCCACAGGCTCACAGGCAATATGTGCCCCACACAGGACTGCCCTGGGGTAGCTGCCTTGACCCGTACTTCAGTCTGAGCATGGGCAACTGTTGCTTTACTGAGTTTCATCATGCCAGTGATGTCTCTTGGTCCTGGGGCTCTTTCTAGAAGGGAACATCCCAAAAACAGGCTTGGGGTTGGTTTCCTCTCTGATGATTTGGACCACCTGTACCTTACATATTTTTTGTGGTGGTGAAGCACTCTCATTTGCAGATCAGATGGTGCAAAGCAGCATTTTCATCAGTGAGAATTACACTCAGTAACTTCCAAGCCAAAACACAGACCCAGTTCATCAGTGTTGTGAAAAGATTGCCTTTGCTGGGTCTTTACCACAGATGGGACATTAAGTTAATATTTTACTGTAACATTTTCTCCACTGCTTGAAGAGCATTCGAGCAATAAACACCTCAGATGAATAGTTATCAATTGATAGCTGATACACAACAGTCAGATCAGTCATCAGCAGGAGAATAATCCCCTGTGATTCCATAATTGGTGTTGGTTCAGTTCTTTAGCTTCACAATGCTTAACCTTTAACTACAATGCATAGTGCAAAACACTGCTCCTTGCAGTGATTATGAGCTATGCTTTCCACACTCCTTTGTGATATATGTTATTAAATCACAGCCGTTAACCTTTGTGATTAAATACAATGCAGAATAGAATACAATCTACCTGTGGCATCAGATTTGTGCCCAGTAAATATATCATACATCCCAAAGGCAGAAAATTTCATTTCTTAAAATATGACTGTGAATGCATTGAGGCGGGTGATTTTCTTCAACAGCGTTTCAGTGAAGGAGCATCACTTTTTTTATAGTTTCAGGTGAAGGACACTCACATTACTGGGGTGGTGATGATTACAGAGAGAAAAAAGTCACGTGGATTCAGGGAAAATCTGTTTCCTTTGTTTGATATGTTCCCCTGTAGCGAATGGCATATGTCACCCACTATAAAATGGGACAAGTTTTAAGTGTTAATGGTAACCTTGATTTTATCAAGCCTCTACAACTACAGGATTTGCCAAGAGTCACTTCAGTTGCTATTATTATTTTCATGGCTTCAAAGATACTCCTTAAAGAGAGAGAGAAAGAGCTTAGATATTCTACTGAAGTACTTCTGCTGCACTGTATCGCACAGGAGATGAAACCCCTATAATAGATCCTGCTGTCTACACTGTGTCTTAAGCCAGTAAAATATTGATGTGGGTATAAGCTTTTAGGTATGTGAATAACTAACTGAAATGTGTTAAATGCCTGTATGAGTGCTGTGCAGGCTCAGAACCTTCTCTGAAGTCAACCTTATGAAATAAAAGACATTCATTCTATAGATTATTTTTACAACTTCCTTCTCCCCCCTTCCACTTTCTCAAAGGGGAAGGTTTTGCACAGATTATTTTTGATCTCTTTGGATAGATATGAGATTTTGAGTTCCAAGCTGACCTGAGAATAGAGGTAATGAAAAAAAATATTGCTTGGGTCGACTCCAAGGGAATTTTGGTTTACTCTTCCAGCAAAACAAAAAAATAAATGCTCACGCGTAACATTTTCTTCTCTCCTGTCATTAATAAATATAGTATGGATTTAGGAATAAATAAATACTTGATTTATCAGAAAAACCTATCAACCTTATACCGTTTGATTTTTAATCTTTCTAAAAAGATCTTTCAACTTTCTTTTTCCTACTTAATAAATTAACACAAAGTACATTGACAAAAGGAATGGGATTTTTACCTAAGCACGTATTTTGCTTAAAGCTGTCGAAAATAATATGCTGATGTATGTAAATTCTTGTGTTTGGTCAGAACTGATCTAACAAAAATCTCCCAAATGTGTTAAATCTGCATTTTCTCTGTGGGGAAAAATAAATTTGAATCAAAACATCACACTCATTTTTCCCATGAAAAATTATTTCACTAGCTGATGCATGGTCTTTTGTTAGTGCTAAATAAGCAAGGAAGATGTGAATGTCACTTTATTGAGAGAGAGAGATTATTTGGGATATGACAATAAAGAAATTAAACCAGAAGTGACTATTGTTATGAGCAGTCATCCATTACACTGACATTTGTTGAAAAGCTGAAAGATGACAATAAACAGACTAAATATCAGGTTGCACAAGATATATTAACTTTTCTGATAAAGCAAATACAAATCTATCTCTATACCTATATTATCTTTGCTACTGAAAGGGGGAGAAAAATATTGCTATTTAACAAGAAGAATACATAAAGATTGCTTTCCTCTGCCAATACTGGGGAAGTTAATCTAAATTAGCTAAAAACAATATATGCTTGTCATTTGACCAGTGCTGGCAATAACAATGCCCCAGATTCAGTCACAAGTTAACACCAGAGGCACAATATATTTAGAGCCCAGAACTGCAACTGTCCGCGTTAATCTATTAAACCCAGGATGATTTTAGCTTTATAATAATAATATATAAAAAAAAAGTGAAACTAAAAATAACAAATGTAGCTGGCTTTGCCAGTTCCTTGCAGAAACATGTTTTCACCTAATTAAAAGTAGCTCTCCCACTAGCTCATAAATAACTCAGCTCTGGACACTTTTCCAATGACTACAGTGCAGCGCTACACACTTGTGATTATGTGCTGAAAGAATCACAAGATGTGAGGTGGTTGTGCTCATACTTTGATTCAGCAGGTAGGTGGCTGTGTGCCCCTGTCAGCACAGAAATGTGTATATCTACAACTCAGTAGTCACTCTGCAGCTATGTGGCATGGTGGCACCAAACTAATAGCATAAGGTGAGTTTTCCCTCCTGTGTGCATCCATGGATTACATAAAGCTAGAAGGAAAATAAGGAACAAGTTTGTTTCTCTTGCTCCTCAGTGGAGTTTGTGAAAGTAAGAAGTGTGTCTAGATCTAAGGCAAATATTGCAAAATAGCATTTTGAAATGAGAAAAAAAGAACAACCTTTGCAAAGAGAAAAATTAAGGTATTTTGGAAGTGGCAAACAGAAAAAAAGTGCTCATGTAGTGACAAAAATCCCAGAAAAACTGAAAGAGAAGCTAAATTTAAAAGGAAATGTAAGCAGTGCAAACCCATATGCAGATCAAAACCAGCCCAGAGTTGAGAACTTGGCTGTGACATATCCAAATCTAAGGATCTCTAGTGTATGGGAGCAGATTGAAAAGAGCAATCTCATGAGGAGAATGAGTCAGTTGCACTGTGAGGTAAAAAAAAAATCTCAAATCAAATACTGAGGATATCCTTCCTAGACAGAGCAAAAAACAGTCTTGAGAACCAAATAAATGTAACAGAAGTGAGAGGAAAGAAGGGAAAGATGGAGAAAGGGAAGGAAAGGGATGGGAACAGGATTGCAGAGGAACATAATGCATGCCTCCATATGGAGGAAAAGGGCTCTGGAAAACCCCTCTGGGTGTGGGAAAGCCCCTTCTGCTGGTGAATGCTGTGCCTACCCTGCTGCTGAAATGTCCCTGGAACAGATGGTACAGTGCAGGGCAGGAGACTGAGACGGAAAGTTCATGAGCAAAGTTTTACTTTAGATTTGACAATTTAATGCTGGTTCTGGACCTTTCTTTCCTAGAGTGTCTTCTACACCACACTGGCCTCAGTCAGAAACAGCTGGCTGAGGGCAGAGGGAAGCTTTCAGCAATGGCACTTTCTTGCCTGTGTTCTTGTACAGAATTTGGGAAAGGCTTTGGAGGTAACCAGGATGCTGTGGGTGGATTGTCCTGCATTTGAGAACTCAGGGATCAAACCTCAATAAAGAAAAAGCCTCCTGGGGATCACTGTGAGGACAAATTCAAAGCCATTTCGTCTGCCTATGGAAATGAAGGAATGGAAAGCAGAATACAGTAGTCCTAATAGAAGACATGCAAAAGAGAATGAAAAACAGACACCATGAAAAATACGGCAGGGAAAGTAACTAAATTAAATCAGGGAAAAAGTGGAAGAAAGGACTGGCACCACAAAAAGCACAGGGGTTGTGCCTCATCTCTTCCTTTTCCACTCTCACCAACTCACTAATGGAGCACATTCTGATTCCTTTCTTCTTCACTGTTTCTGACATAATAATGCCACAGACTTACTCAATCCTTCATGCATAAAGCTAAGCCCAGCCACATGAATCATTCACTAGACCCATTCACCCTTCTGTGGCAAGGTCTTCCTTTTCCACCCTCACCAAGTCACTAATGGAGCACATTCTGATTCCTTTCTTTTTCACTGTTTCTGACACAATAATGCCACAGACTTACTCTACCCTTCATGCATAAAACTAAGCCCAGCCACATGAATCATTCACTATATGGAAAAACCAGCTTACATGTTTGAAGTTCCTAAATGGCACAAACTGGACAATGTCTCGAAGCACAGGCTCGCCCTTGGGAGACCTCAGGATGCCGTCATCACCGTCCAGCATCTGCATGTCACTGAAGTCAGCGTTGCCCACCCCGACGATGATGACTGACATGGGGAGGTGGGAGGCGTGGACAATGGCCTCTCTGGTGTCAGCCATGTCTGTGATGACCCCGTCCGTCAGGATCAGCAGGATGAAGTATTGCTGGAGTTGTTGGACAGGAAGGGAAAAAATTATGTTAATAGTTAATGGTCCAAAGCTGCTTAACCTTTTAAGTTAAAAAGTATAAAAGTGTTTCTGGTATCTCACTCATGGACCTTTTTAAAGAGAAAAGAGCCTTTATATTGACTATATAGAATTTTCCATTCCAAGCTCCTCAGCTATTAATTTCTCCTCTGCAGAGTAATGGGGTCTCTGAGGAGAGCAAGGCAGGAATATATCTATCTTCATACAGAGCCTCAAAGAGAGGCTCATTCTCATTCTTCAGAGGAGAGCAAGCAATTTGGTGAGCTTGTAATTTCTCTCCCAAATCTCCAAAGCCCACTGAACTGGGATCATGTGCTATGACATATCTTCACTTGGTAATGGTGAAGAGTGGCCCTTACTTGGATCCTTTATTAATTGTTGGGCAGCTGGAGTAATTTATAAGAAATGTATAGTGCATTAATAGGAAAAATGAACAAATCATAGGATTTGGTCACTCTGCATGAGCAATACCAACACACTAAACATCAATAATATTTATGTGCATACAGTGGTATAAACTCAAAGTGTTCCAATCATCTTGTCCTGCCACAAATAAAACAAAACATGCAGGGAGAAAACTTCATCTTGAACATTCATACTATAAATTGTTTTTCAGATAGAAAGGGGAAAGATTAGGTATAGAATGAAGGAACTTATTCAGTAAGGCATATTAGATCAGGAGCAGCACTGGGAATAGAGTGAGCCACCTCAGGATTAGGTGGGTATGGAAATTCAAACATAGCAATTCCCCATTTTAGGACTGGGACCCTAAATACTATCAAGGTTCTGGAAACAACAGTGGAATCACAGAATCACAGAATGGTCTGGATTGGAAGGGATCTTAAAGATCATCTAGGCTGAACAGATGATGAAGCAGGGACAAGTTCCACTAGACCAGATTGCTCAGAGCTCCATCCAACCTGTCCTTGAACATTTCCAGGGATGGGGTAACCTTAGCTTTTCCAGGCAACCTGTTCCAGTGTCTCACCATTCTCACAGTAAAGAGTTTTTTTCTAATATCTAATCTAAAGTTGTCCTCTTTCAGTTTGAAGCCATTACCCTTTGTTCTGTCACTATATGCTCTTGTAAATATCAGTCACAAGCCCAGATTCATGAACAAAAATATTTGATAACTGCAGTCCTAATAGGACTTAAAAAAGGCCCAGCACATGAAGAAAGCTTAGAGAAAGCTCTAGGCCAGGTGATCATGCACATGCCAGTGCACAGCTCTATTCTGTTCTGTACTTGGGCACTTTTTGTGCTGCAGTAGACAGTGTCTCTCTGACATCCTTTACTCCTTTACACCACTGCTCTTGTAAATGGATCAGACCTACTCGTTTACATATTCCCTCCATTTCTCTTGTTCTCCCTTTCTCCCATTCTGTCTTCAAGGCAGGATCAAAATAAACTTAATGCATCTCAAGGGTGTACATTTAAAACATGAGCTATATGTAAGTCTTTTAGCCCAAGAAATCTGTCCTGGGGTTTTTATCAGGTGCAGGCTAACAGATTTGTGTTCCAATTTCTAAAAGGAACAAATTACTTCATCAGTAATAACAAACTGAAAACTGTATCCTTACCATTTTCAAATGAATAGTTGGAAAAGTTCCCTAGGTGAACAGAAATATTTTAGTACAGCCTGTGCAGGAGACATGAAATTGGATAGTCTGAACTGGGAATCATTTGAACTCATCTCATGGTACAACCAAGACTTTTAGGGCTTCAATGCTCAATTTTTGTAACGTTAGTAGTGCCATTTCTATTTCCACAGTGAAGAACTGGGTGTGCTACAGTGAAACAGCCCTAAAAGCAGGAAATAGATCAGTGGGGAAAGAGTTTAAAGCTATGACAATCAAAGCTAGAAAGACTGGATACACTGTTCCAGCTGACACAGGTTTAATCTGCCTTCTGTGAAGGCAGTTAATAAGAACTGTGAAGGTGCAATCTGCATTAAAAGGCCTTGATGGCCTACAAGAGACCCATCATAAGACAAGGAAAAAAGGCAAACACAGGGGTTTTTTCCCCCCTTACCGAGGCCTCCTTGGTGTTGGTCTCCTCTGATGCAGATTTTGCCACTTTCTGGATGATGGGAGCAATGTTTGTTGGTCCATAGAGCTGCAGCTTGGGAAGGCAACTCTGATAAGCTTCCACAACACCTTGTATTCCTGGCATGAAAAACCAAAAAAAGAAAAAGAAATGTGGAGCATATTGCCAATATCAGGCTTGTTCAAAATGTAAATGAAAGGTGGGTTCTTAATGAACAAATTAAAAATACTACATGATAAGCAAGGACTAGAATCTTAAGATACTTTCCAGGAATCTGTCTCTAGCTGCCTTAAATCTAGTTTGTAATATATAATTATTACACCATGCTTCTCCTTTCCAGCAGCTTTTAATGTCTATTTTTCACGTATGAGCTTGCAATGCCACAGCTTCCATTCTTCTCAGTTTAAGATACGATAGCTTCCTGATCAACAACTAAGATTCATGATGAAAGTCTAAACACACATTAAGAAACATTTCAACAATTCTTTCTCCTCTTCAGATAAATATTTTTGTTTATTGTGGCTGTTGCCAACAAATTTGTCCTTTGTACTTATGCCTTAAAGCTGTTAAGGAATTCAAAACATCTTTTCACTCTCCTGTGGTAAGAAAATAATTTTTCAGGGTTAATTTGCATAATCACTCATAGGTTGAATTTGACTATGACCAAAAGCTGTGAAACCTTGAAAGAAACAGCAGGATGCTTTGCAGCCTACAGAAAAATGAGCTTCAGCTGAGAAATTTTGATGGAGGACTAGCTATTTTTGGCTTTTTCATTTCAGGATATATACTCAGACCAGGGAGCAAAGACTTCTTTGCTGACACACTTGACAGATCACAGAATGGAAATTGGTATTTTCAATCATTGAGAAGAAGGATTTTTTGAAGTGATGCACATTAGCCTCCCCATTCAGAACTCCCAGCTTACCAGACCTAAAGGATTAGAGGTCTAATGTTGGAAAGAAAGTGATAGACTGAAAAGCTTTGCAAAGGATGCTGAAGAATGAAATGGCTTTGGTAATATCCTAAACCAGTTTCAGTTTGCAGGGAAACTCGCTCACTCATGAGATTTTTTACCCAACCCTATTTACAGGATAGATGGGTGCAGAGTTTTTGCTAACAAATGACAAGGAGTTGTAATTGTTTTATAATGACACACATACACTCCTATGAAAAAGTGGTGGAGAACACAGTTTTCTCTCTTTAGAGAAGCTACAGATATATTTTTCCATTGCAGTGCTAACAAACAAAAGTACTTGCTCCAATTATAGCTGCATTGGCTGAAATGTAAAGTAGTGTTACAAAATGTCCCTTGGTAATTCCAATGACTAAATTACATATTGCAAAACTGACCTTTTGGTAACTCCCAATTTTAAACTTGCTAAGGATTTCATTACATATACTTAATGGTGTTGTATGAAGGCCTCATAAATCTTCCCTAAGATGATGACAAGATACACCATACTTTTCTTCTTATGCAGTAAAATAATGTAAGATAAACTTTACTCCCTGCATTCCACAGAGATTTAGTGTTGTTCACGTCAGAAAGTTGCTCTCATCTTAGAAAGAGACACATTCTAGAAACATAATTTCTTATTTGATTTCTCAGATTAATATATTTTAGAAATATCTACTGTCTATCCAATCCCAACTCAACAGGATATGCGAGGATTACTTTGTAGCTTGATGTTCTTGTACTCCTTTATCTTAGGCATGTGTGCATTTTTTTGCAGTTCAACTCTTTACATTTTTATTTGGAATCCACTTTCAGCATCTCCAATGAAATACAGTGTATGCATACATATATGGGTTTAAGACAGATGTGGAGAAACATTCATTCAGATTAGAGGTTTTTGCCTACTTTCTTCCTCAGATAATAAACTAAGTATTAATTTTAAGACTATAAAAATAATATACTACAAATATACAAAATATAATACTATAAATACTAAAATTTTCAAGAAGGGAAATAGTAACAGGTGAGGATATCTGTATTTTATGAATTCCAGTTCTCTGCATCTCAATATCTTGTCTGTCCCTCAATATCTTGTATGTAGAGTGATGCTTCACACTACCTTGTGCCAGGAAAAGCTCTACTTCCATAGAGAAAAGGATTTCATTCCTCAAAGGAAAAATAAACACATACTTTTTTATATCACATCCAACCGCTGTTTCTTTGTTTAAAACAAGATATTTTTAAGCAATTTTATTTTATTTTCTGGCAAGAATGCTAGATATTACAAAGTAAAATAGTGCAATCACTAAGCACTTTATCTCCTCCTCACTCTTGCATCCTTTCTCCACGACTTGTTGATGTTAGTGTTCCCTGTGACACCTAATACAGTGAGAGCATCTAGAAAACATCACAGAACTAACAAGCACCCATGACAGGCAGATGAACAAGCTGTAGCAGATGATTAAACAACACATTTTCTGGTTTGTCTCCTCTTCTTGCTTTCACCCAGATTGACATTATTTAAAAAGGTATCCTTTTAGATAAATAAGTGCTTTTAATATCTTGCAGATACAGGTGCAACTGCTGCAAAATTTCTTTCCTGGCATTCTTTGTTGCAACATTTTTTTTTTTGTTTTCTTAGGCCTAGAACTCCTTTCAGGCAATGGGCTAACTTATCAGATAACTAAGTCTTATGCAAAGATACAAATAAAGTTTAAATCACTAAGTGATATAAGCTAAGACTCATAGAGCAGCTCCTTCCTGTTTTTTTACCCCTGTTTTTTTTTACCCCCTTTCATTGTTGTATTTGGTTTTGCACACAGACTGTGGTTTGGATAGTAAATCCCTTGCTTACAGAGGGTTTGTCTGTCCAAACCCTGCTGCTGGCACCACCTAGATCTGGCAACCTTTTCAATCAATAAAAATCATTATATAACAATGCCAGTGTGATAAAAGAATTAGCCTTGAACTCAAAAGAAGCAGCAAGGGGGGCAGGGATAAAAATAAGTGTTCTTTGCATGGACTGTTGGAGCATTTCCCTGTAGTTTACAAAGGGTCACAAGTATCCTGGAGTTAGATTGAGAAACAAGCTCTTTTTGAACACTACACACATAGATATGTTATCACTTAATGCTGACCACTGTTAACTGTTTTAATGACACATTATTAAATACGACGGTCCAGATTAAATTCTGAGGTCTCTTTTGCTTCCTCACTCCATCCCTGCACTGAAGTCTCAACATCAAGCTGGCTTACAAGCTTACAGGCACTTCTAGATGCATACATGTAACTTCTGCTCCTTTCAACTCCTTAAAAGCAGTGTAAAAAGCTGTGTGAGCACATCAGGCAGCTGTAGGACTTATGCCCAGTTGCATTTCAAGCACATGACCTGCAAAGGCTGGGGCAATCCAACAATTCAAGTGCAACAACAAAGCAGGAATGCCCACTGAACCAAAACTGGTCTTGCATTTAAGATGCATAAACTCTGAATTCTTTTAATGTCTCTTTCCCTTGAATTGCTTGTCCTCTCTTCTTTTCCTCACTTCATTTCTCTGCATCTTAGTTCTCATCCTGAACATGTTTGCTGCCCATGCCCAAAAGAAAGCCACTAATAAGCCTGAGAAGGGCTAAAAGGAGCAGCTAGAAAATTTGAACAGGAGGACCATTTTGAAATATCCAGTTCAGTATTTGGATGGAAGCAGAAGGATAAGGGAGAATAACAATCTGTGGATTTTAAGACAGCAATGATCACTTGAGCAAGACTCTTAACTGTTACTGGGTTTAGAGGTAATTTTCCTGTTATTGTCTTTTACAAAATATGTGAATTGTGGCAGGAGATTTAAAAAAGACAGCATCAGTCACTGCAGATCTCATTTGCAAATACAAGACATAAAGCAACATCTGCTACATAAATCTGGCCTCTGATTACCAAGGATTAATGACTGTTGGTAGAACACAGCAATATCTTACACTGTTGCCTCCTGCTGCATTTGCTCTCAGGAAAATAGGTTTCTTTCTACCACAATAGTCATCAGCTGCTTCCCTGCCCTTGACTTGCAACAGGCTATAGTTCTGGTCAAAGAACTGGCTCTAAATTGAGGAAATTTTTGATCACAGAGGTTCACAGCCTGCTTTTTCATATCCTTCTTTGCAGCACAACATATGATGCTGAGGTAGCTGAAGATTTTAAATTAGTCTTGTTCTCAGAAATGCAAGTGATTCCAGGAAGTCCAAGTGCTGAATGTCCACCTACTATTCAGGAAATTATTGTATGACACTTTCCAAGATTTCTAAAGTTAAGATCAATGGTTTGGTGCCTGTCAGGTCCCCAGATCCTAGCTGCCCTCTTTAATAAAACCACTTGAATAATACTCAGGTGATGCAATAGGTGATGCACACAGCAAAACTATGGCAGTCTGTCCTTCTGTGAGCATTACCTGCACATTCTGGGTTGTCTTCATTGAAATTGATTGCAAAGTCATGAGAGACCTGCAGATAAAAGGAAAGAAAAGAAGACTGTTGTCAGAAAATTATTCCAAGAAGACTTGTGGTTAAACACTCTTGACATTTTTTCTGTGGTAAACTGGAGACCTTTCAAGCTTTCAGCCATTAAGTGTGAAATACAGTCCCAGCTGGAGCTCCCTGCAGAACCAAAGTAGCAAAACTGGAATCAAACTTGTCAATAACAACAGCAACAAAACAAAACAAGGCACAAAGAAAACCCACCCAAATACATTTAAAAGTCATATAAACATGGTGTCAGGGTTGGGCTATCAATGCTGGGCACAGCATTGCTGAGGCCATTTAAATGCCAGCTCTCCCTAGCTCAGCATCTCAGACTGCAGGAGAAAGCAAGCAGGTTGTGATACAGCAGTGACTGCAGAAACTCAGCTCACTTATGCATCCTGACCTCACTGTGTGAACAGCTCCTCATCTAAGGCCAAGGAGTACTGGGAAAGTAATTCTACAGAGAAATCAAAGTTCCACTGTGCAATATTAGTGCAAAAAGTGTAAGGAGTCTAAGTTGGTTAAAATGTGAAGAGTATTCTGGGGGGTATTAAATAAAAAAAAATCCTGAAGACTCTTGGTTTTACTTGCATGTGGTGAATATTTCAATCTCTCTATCTCTCTTTCTGTTTCTCAATCTGTCTATCATTAAATCCTGCAGAGCTGTTTTTTAAAAGAACTCACCGTGAATACAACAAAGTAGCTGATTTTCTAACAAAACATAGTATCTTGTCATTGGTGCCCTGGGAAAATAATACAAGACTTTTGTATGCTTAAATAATGCTAGGCACTGTAAATCTCCAGTTCCAGAATTCTTTAAGGTTGATTCTTGCCTGCATTTTTCTTTTTCATATTCCTTTTTACTTCTTTCTTTGATCATTGAAAAGTCTTGATTCTTTTAATATCTTTGGGTCTGAAGCCCAGCCTCTTAATTCTGTTTGCCTTAATTTTTCTTGAGTGAAAAACCTCAGATTTTGTCTCACAATGCATAATGTGTAATATACATATATGTTTTATTATATATATACCTACATGTATATGCATATGTGTGTGTGTGTATCTATATATATATATTTGACTTGCAAAAAGTGGCTGAGAGTTTAGCAGGTAATTTGCATAATTTAAAGCTGAATTTAGGTGTATCATCCCAGATTTAAGAAGGCATTTATATAACTGCAATTATACACATTTAAAGCTTTATAGATCTCTGTAGAGTCTTCAAAAGTGCCTACAGTCCCAGTGATATGGAAGCAACCTCTAGTACAATGGAACCAGGATTATTTTCAGGAAGAGATTTATTTTCTGGATGTTGCTGTTTGATTTGCTAATTTAGATGTCTCCATAGCAGGGTATGGAAATTAATCTATGATTAAGGGACCCATAGATCAAATATGTGACTGCAGAGAAGCTTCTGTGAAAGTGAAGTGGTGTAAGTTGGTTAATTACTGCCAAAGAGAGTTCTTCATAGAGAAATGGAATTTCCCCATCATATTTTAGTCTTGCTTACCATAATGATGCCTGCCATTCTTAAGATGTTAAATAAAGCAGTACTTCTACCATGATGGGAAAGGACTGAAGCAAAACCTCATTAAGAAGTCTGCAGTGGCCTCAGCCCAGCCAGGCATTCAGCATGCCTACATCAAGCATCAGTCTTACAGACTGTTTTACATGGTCCGTTCAGTCTATCCTACTTGGCCATGGAAGATAATGCAGGAAGTCACTATTTATGTTCCTGACTGAGCAGCACAGAAGATCAGGGCTGCCAGATACACTTCAGAGGTGCTCCAGAGCCCTTCTGCCTGGCTGCTCTGGATGTCTCTCAGTGCACTTTGCCCAGCTGGTATCTGCCAGTCTCATGACCAGCTGCAGGCCAAAGATAATTGCATCTGTCAAGAACTGTTATGGGAGTTTTCTCATTGATATTTTTTGTTGTTGTTCATTAGCCTTTCTCCTTCCTTTAGGGTTTCTGTATTTTGCATTAACTGTATTAGAAAAGCAAGGATGGCCATGCATGTTTATGTATTGCAGATTGATTCTTCCAACACTGTGCCTCTTCAGTGATTTTATTTCTTTATTCCAAATGCATTTGAAATTATACCTAAAGGAAAATACAAGTCTTTTCAAAAGCTATGAATACAGTATTTCAATTTCACAGGCAAGCATGGTTTGGTTGCTTTTGTTGCCATACCTCTTATCACATAATGCAAACAATTTATCTGGTTCAGAGCTATGGCACCCAGGCTATTATTTAACAGACAACAGTTCAGGCCAATAAGGAAAGCCCAAGTCTAGTCAGTGTGCACAATGATCCAAAAAAATAATACTGTCTGAGCATCAGCTGCTATCCTCCTAAAGCAAATGGCCCTCGTACATTGTCATCCTGATTCACAGAGCAGGGATAAATGTACCCTGAAGGCAGCACAGGAAACGTCATGAATGTGCAGAAGCATTGGCTTGTTTCCTATGGTCTTTGAATAATATATCACAATTTAAACAAGATTTAAGTATAATGTGAAGGAGAGAAATTCTTTGAGCAGCTCAGTGATGGTTCACAAACAGGAAATCACCACTCAAGGCAAGGCAACGGCTGATATGTTTCACACAGAGCTTCTCCAAATTCTCAGAACACATCCCCCACTCTGTTAAGCAAAGCCAAGTGTGCTTCGACCTTTGCTGTCTTCCCTGTGGTGGCCAGAACTCAAGAGTGTCCAAACCAGCAGAGACTTCAGACTTATACCATGTACTGAAGGCCTCACTAAACTTGGCTGCTACCTGGTAGGACTCCATGTAAAGCTTATCCATGTCAAAAGGTGGTTTGGATCAGATATTCAATGCTTTTGCTTTCTCAACTGTGCAAGGTGATGAGTTTCCCTCCTTTTTTTCTTTTTTCTTTCTTCTTTTTCTTTTTCTAATTAAACATGCAAGGGCTTTATGACTGAAGGGCAAAGCATGCTGATGACAGAGAACCAACAGCTGGTATACTCAATGGCATCTTTCTGATATTGAGCAACACAGCCCTTGAATGACACTCCCAGAACTGATAAACTAATGACAAAATGAGGCAAAAGTTCGACCACCTAAGATGCTGAAGACTGAGAAACCCTCAGTGGAAATAGGAAGACACTGGGCTGTTCAGAAGCAGGCATGTTTATATAATTTACCAGGATGGTTTGTATTGTGGATTGATCTAACAGTCAGGAAATCCTGGAATTTGTCAAGTCACACAAATACAGAATGGCTGCTTCACATCAGTACCTGGCACAGAGAACTTTACCAAGAACTGCGGAGCACGGTCTGTGGTGGAAGTCAACCTCACATTAAGGAATGTCCTCACAAAACCTTGAGTGTTTTGTGATTGGACTAAGTTTTTGTAACCCTGGACTAAGTTTCAAATATGAAGCTGAGCCTCTGCTCAGCCCTCCTCTCTTAACATCAACCCATAAAAGAGAAGGAGAGAGAAATGCTGGCATGCTGAGGTGATTACATGGGATCAGCCTGGCGTTACTTGGGTGCTGCACAGAACTGCACTCAAAGCCTGCAGCTAAAGACATTCACTTGCACTTGTATGAATCTTTTACCTCTGCAGGGTTCCAGATACATTCTTTAGCAGATACCATCATGGATATGGCATTATTAAACTACAGGAACTTCCCACCCCAGGAACCTACTATTTCACAGGTAATTCCTTCAAGGTTTTTAACAAGCAAATTAACTAGATCTATCATACATTATGATATAGATTACAGTGACAGCATTTCTGAGGATATGACAATTAAATAAACATTACAGAACAGTTTTGCTAAGATAGGTTATAGAAATGTTTTTTACCACTGTACAATACCTCCTCCACTATCTGTACATTTACAGTGACAAACCCATACAGTTTTCCATCAATGTGATGGCACCCATGAGACTCTTGGAAGAATCATAGTGATACTTTCACATGCTTATGGCCACTTTTGTAGAAAAAATGACATTGATTTAACACAGCAGGTAACTTATTTCCCTCATATTGGGATGCGATGAAATTCATCCTCATAGCATGGCCCTTGCTAAAATTGTTTCTAATTTAGGCTGAAAGGAAAATTTCCTAGTTGATTAGAATTTTTGAGATTTCTTAAAAAATATTCTATGAATTCAGACAGAAACCTCAAAGGACAAACAAAAATCCTACCTTGAAATCTGGAAAATAATAAATCCCCCAAGATTGATAAAGCAAATTGCTGGAAAGTTTTTGAACTGTGCAAAGGCATTTTATTTTAGTTTCATTGAAACTTGTTATTCTAGTTTGGCCTATACATTTTTTAAACCCCTTTAACTGAATTTCCATTTTTTTGAAAAAGAAGCTATGTTTTTTATTTTCAAATTATGAATATGGATGCCTGAATTCTGAAAATTAATAACCCTTTTTTCCCCCTCTCTAAATTGTTGAATTCATTGAAATTAACCTTCATGTCCCAAACAGCTCCAGCTTTTCTCTATGGTGATGGTACTAGAAGTATTTGACAAACAATCTGACAAATTCAGATTTTTAGGAATGCTTTCTTAATAATTTAAATAGAAATTGTCAAAAATCCATGAACAATAGATTCATACAAGTGTAAATGCCAAAATGCACTATGTTGGACACTTTTCTGTGAAAAAATTGAACACTATTAAGCTACTGTCATTCAGAAAACTAAATATGAAATGCCTGCATATTTTACAAAAGCTTAAGACACTAATGAATTTCAAGTACTTTTGGTCAAAAGCTATTATTTTCAGAATGCTCATTAATCAAATAGCTTGGGAGCTGGAAAGCTTGTGTTTCTTGCTAAGATACATTGTGCATATTTCTGCTTGGCAAAGCTGGGCCATTTATTTCCCTTTATACTTCATTTTTGTACATGGTGCCCAAGTTTCCATGTCTAAATCCAACTTGCATGGATAAGAAGACTAATTCTGTTTTGTCCCTTGGTCTGCTACAAATACTTTTTTTTTTTTTTGTCAGATTTGCATATATTTTAGGCATCAATCTCCTGAAAAGTGCAGGAATCATAAAAACCACAGCACTTCTCAAATCTCTCACCTGTCCAACAAACCAGTTCAGGTTAGGGCTGTAAAGATGCTGCCCTGTATCTGTAACTACAGTGAGTTTGTCTCCAGTACACATTCACAGCAAAAGCAGGGAATGAAGCTTTCAATGAAAATACAGAAATAACCAGGACTCTCTTAAAACAAACTGCAAGTTGTTTAGTACCTATTGGGTGTCAGCTGCAATTCTCCTTTAGGAAACAGGCTTTCATTAATGGCAGTCCACCTGTCATGGGGCTGACACTATTCGAACTTGCTTTTCATTTTAACAATAAGTTTTGTGCTGCTGTGTGGTTTTTCATCTCCTTTGAGTCCTGCCTGCTAAGTGTGTGTGGTTTGCTTTCTTTCCTCCTCTTCACTGTGACCTTTCACAGCCATGTCTTAGTCCATATTATCTACCACCTCTTCACTTTACATCAGACTTCTCAGATGCTTCCTTTCATTGCAAAAAAAAACAAACCCAAAATCACAAGAAAAAAAATTCTAGAAGTTTTTTATGATAGAAACTCACAAGGGAAATATTTCTCTCAGATGTTTACTTAGATCAAGGAACGGGATGATGTATTTGTCAGGTCTTGGTGGAAGAAGCTCATATTGTTGAATATTAGATGAAAGATCTCTAGACTGATGAAGAATGATGTATATGGCATATCTTGCTTCCTTCACTTCCACAGATTCCTTATGCCACTAAGAAACTGCTGGTTTTCTACTAACAGCTGAAGTGTGTCATTTGGAGATGAACTGAGGGAAAATAAAGTCAACACAACACAGCAGTGTGCTCTTGAAATAGAAATTCTGTAGAAAACATATATAAAATCAAGATTTAAAGGTGTAGAACATCAAGAGATTTGTGAAGAGCCTGAAGAGACAGAAACTGACATTGCTGAGGAGGAAGCTATGTTATTTAGGTTGTATGGGAGCTCCATGGTTACTTAGGAACCTTTGGCAGTGGGAGTGATTTCTTCCATAGCCCTATTTCAATTTGTTGTCTACTGAAAGAAGTAAAAGACCAGATGCTGGAGGGCAGAGATCAATATGCTATGAGCAGGTTAGATCACTTCATTAGGACTGAAGTCCTGGAAACAGACACTCTAAATTGATGAGAAGCTGATTTATCCAGATGATGGAGTCAGAACTTCGAAGTTCTCATAATGATTCAGACTAAATTTGAAGATGTAAAATTGTTACACTAGTGGCACTGCTCTCCTTTAGTAAAACAAATGTATGGTATGTATGACTTGTAGTACCTGTAACTGAAAACATGAAAAGGCTGTTTGAATAGCAAGAGATCTCCACTGTTGCCGTGGTGTCTAGCATGTGTCTGTATTTTTGCAGCAGGAAATAAGAAGTTAAGGAAGAAACTTGGGAGCACTTTTTCTACAGTCTCTGTTACTTTAAATTTTATCTGTTTCTTCTCTATTTCCTATGCATCTTTGCTATGTTCCACATCAAAAACTAATAATTTTTGGCTTTGAATTAACTTTATACCAGTGTAGACTAAATTACTGAAGGATTTTCAGGTTTATTGGTCTTAATAATGCATCATGATGAAGGTGACTCTTCACTCTTGAAAGACATATCTTTCAATTCAGAAGTGCAGTCAAAGCCAAAAGTATTGATATAGTTTATTTTAAGAAGGCAGATACTTTTATGGACTGTGTAGAGTATCACAGGGAGGGACTGAAGTACAGCTCAGATGACTTTAACTCTTCAGTGCAGTTCCAGCTGGATGTGCCCATGGCAGACACCAAGCTGATTATTTGTCCCCATCTGTGGCACAGAAGAGTTAGTCCCCTGCAATGTGGTTCTTGTCTTCTTCAAAGTTTTATTATGTTTGTGAGCTGATGTCATGTCATTTTGTCTTTGCCACTTTCTCTCACAAGTTTCCATAGCAGAGATTAAAGATGTTGTTCTGGCCTTCACCTGCATTTCCATTTACTTTGGGATTTGTTTTATTCAGTCACACATATATAATCCACAGGCAAGCAGCCTTACCTTCTGAAGTTTACTCTTACTTTTCCTGAACTTTGCAAAATCTGAAGGTTCTGAGTCACATTAATTTTCTTGCTTTGAGAAGTTAGCAACAGACAGACTGTTCAGGAGAGCTCATGCTACAGGCAGGATAAGACTCTTCATTCGTGCATGGACTACTAAGTTCAATGCAAATCTCTGGGTTTCTTAAGGGCATTTGTGAGGAAATTATTCCAACACTAATTGTGCCAAAGTAGAAAATCAATTGGTGTTGGTGATTGTAGGAACAATTGGTTACACAGACCCCTGAAGTTACTTTCTGGCAAGACATCTGTTTTCCAGCTAGCACCTGAAATGTGGTCTCACAATCAGGTGAGAAGGATGATAGTGGAGTCTAACAAAACTGGTACGTTGCCAATAGGCTCATGTGACCTGAAGCATCAGTGCTACCAGCTCATTATTTTGGCTAAGAAGAGCAGCTTTGTGCTGGGATCTTTATCTGTCACCAGGAAACAACTGAAAAGACTTCAGCTGACACAGTAATACCTTCCTTCAAGCAGTCCTTAGATAAGGATGGCTCTCTATGACTGGAAAAGTTTTAAGTTTTCCCCCACGCACCAGAGGTCACCTCACAGATGGTGGAACAACCAGGCCCTGACACCCCACCTTAAATAACAGTGACGGTTGTCAGCTGCTGCATTTGGACAAACATACAACATAGCACAGATGTTCTGAGCTCATAATACCACATTAAAATGTATATCAAAGCTCTGGAAGACATCTCTGACTTTGGAAAGCACTAACACTGATATTACCCTTGAGGAACAAAGCAAGGCAAAACACCTTGCCAGGCACAGACAAGCTGAGAAAGCAATGTTGTTAAAACATATATTACTTACCTTAGACATCTGTTTGCACAACATGTATCAAATTTGCTGTACATCACTGCTGTTAGTCTTCTGCAGGTATCAAACCTACAAGCCATGAGGAACACACTGGTGCATTTTTTTTCTTCTGCTGGTTGATGCTTTACAAGGCTGAATGCACACAATCCCTCTCAGAAATTCTTACCTGGCTTGTGTTCACCTCCCTACCTCAGCCACAGCCCAGAGACACAACCCAGAGCAGGGCACACAGAGACACTGGATGAAGTCTGCATGATTAGATCCTAATGCTTCTCCTTTTCAGACAGTATCTGAGTTGCAGAGTGCCCACCTAGATTTTGGTTACTTATCTATGCAAAACTACTCTTCTGCCCACACAACCTCTGTGAAACAAAGAATTTGAATTTCTACTTATTTCTTCTTGGGCCTTTCTCCTCGGTTGGATGCTCCTTCTTTTACTTCACTGTCTTCACTCCAAGCCTACCAGATGGCATATTTATGCTCACAATTGCAGCATCACTGCAGATCACTCTCTTGTTTTGTTTTATTTTGTTTATAAATACGACTTCTCTCTAGCATGGCTACATGCTCTTGTATTTTTGCCCACACAACCTCTGTGAAACAAAGAATTTGAATTTCTGCTTATTTCTTCTTGGGCCTTTCTCCTCGGTTGGATGCTCCTTCTTTTACTTCACTGTCTTCACAAGCCTACCAGATGGCATATTTATGCTCACAATTGCAGCATCACTGCAGATCACTCTCTTGTTTTGTTTTGTTTTATTTTGTTTATAAATACCACTTCCCTCTAGCATGGCTACATGCTCTTGTATTTCTCTTCCTGGTATTGACTGTGTCCACCATGACACAGAATTTTGCCAAATTCCTCTCAAGTCTTTATTTTCAGGAGGATGTTTGGCAAGGGATGCTCAAAACGTCATTTCTTCTCTTACCATCCACTAACAAAGCTTTGCCAATACCATAAAATATTTTGGGTGTCATCAAACAATTATTTTAAGTTCATCCATGTCTCATTTCTGGTTTCAGTGAGGTATCACTAGATGAGAAAGCCAGATGGAAGAAAACAAAGCAAAGGAGTTGTTCCTGTTTGCCACTGCCTTGCCTTTCACAATTTCTCCTTTATTTTGTATCTCATAACTCAGGGAAATGATAAAATTACACTTAGGCACCTACTTTGTATTCTGGGGGTATTCTTGCTCCAAATCCAAAGGCTGGGAACATTTTGTCACTGGAAAAGAATGAAAAAAATATAAGAATACCCATAGAGAAATATTGTTACAATAAACATTCCTCTGTATGCATTCATGAGAAATGCAAAGCCTAACGACAGCACAGAAGTGGCTTTTAAGTCAAGTGATAGCAGAGTGGAAGGATACTGGATTGGAGAAGTAGGGTTGTGTGCTGAACAGATTAGGGGGAGTGTGTTATGGAAGATTTTTCAGGTGAGCTCCTAGTATTTTTGGGCAGTTAAAATAACTTGGAGAATTCTGAGGGATCAGGATGTCTTGTACTTCCCCCACAAATGTAACAACAGGTCTTTATTACCCACTCTTTTGCATTGCCTGGCTGAAACAAGAGAGTTTGCTGACTGAACAGCCTGCAACAACATTTATTTCATATAAATAGGGATGTGCTCCCCCAGCTCAGAAAATGAGTCTAGTGAAAATATGACTCAGATTAAAAGTGTTTACAAATTTGGGTTCTTACTGTTGTCCAGTTGCTCAAAAGGGACTTCCTAAAATATCTGAAAGGGGCAATTTCATGGTCCCAAACCTGCAGGTTCTGTAAAGCTTTCCACCTGCATCTTTAGTAGCTCCTCTAAAATATCATATTATTTTAAATAGGCATAGATTGACTGATAACCTGCCAAAATGCCTTGGCATGGTCAGTTTGCTTTCAGACGCTACAGTGAGGTTATTTTACCCCAGTTAGACATGGAAGAGGAAAAAAATACCTGATTCAGAGAACCTGGAAACTTCAAGGCTGTTAATACCCTTTCAGAAATGCAATAATGTCTCACACAGCCCACATGCTGTCAAGCTGCCTCTTCCCAGATGGCAAAGTGGAAAAACAACAAGCTGCAAGGAATGTCTTGTCCCTGAGTCAGCAAAGCACTTGATCATACACTTGAGGTTAACAATTCACTCAAACATACACTTAATTCCAGACATATCCTGAAGTCTCACTGATGTCACTGAACTGTACTCCAGTCCGCTGATGAATCAGATTAAGTTTACCCTAGTCTACTTAGAGGGTTTCACAACCCTTGGAAGAGTTGAGTTCCAACTACCATGATTGGAACTTTTAAAAATTCCCAGGAGAGGCCAGCAGCTTCAATATTTTTGGTGTAGTTCAAGAGATGGCCACTCCAAGTATCAACTGAATAATTCACATCCCAGACATACTCCAAAAAAAATAGCACCCATTAAAGCTGCTCGGTTCTTCTGTCTGGCATAGGCTGTTAAAGGCACCATGATATTTCTGATACAACCTAAAGAAAAACTTAAAGAAAGCAGAACTGTGTCCCCTCTGCTGCATAAATCTTGGGAGCACAGTTCTGTGTACCATATGTTACACCATGTGACAATGGATCTTGGAAAGGAAGACTAACATCATTTGCATGGTAATGAAACATTTTTTTCCCAAGAGATTTCAGAAACGAAGTAGCTGCTGACATTCTATGCTAACCACCTGCTGATAGCATTCTCTTTGATTAAACACTTCTGGAAGTGGGGAAAGCCCTTACAAATGGATGCAGGGAATTCAGGCACACACTTTGAGGGCAAGAAATAAGAAACCATTAGAAAAGAATCTGAGAGGGGGGAAAAAAATCTTGTTTTACATCAATGATTAAGCATGGCTGGATTAGAAAATCAAATTCTTGTGGAGCTGCAGTTAGTTGATTTGGGGCAAGAACAACAAAAGAATTTTACTTAGAACTTTACTTAGGTAGAACATAAGTGTTTAAGTTCAACGTTAGCAGCAGTTATACAACTGGGAGATGCCTGAACCCATCCAGTGCCTGAATTCTACTGCAGTGTTTCTGAAGTGTAAACAAGTGTAGGCACTCTTGTATCTGCAGCTCCATCTTCTGCTCTGCAGCAATTCAGAGACAGCAATAAGTCATACCTCCAGCAGCCTGGATTCTCTTTCTGGTGGCGAGACTCCCACGCTCGCAGTCACACAGTGGCACAGCCCCCACTGTTATTCTGCACCCAGAATACCTTACCTCCACAGTCAGGACACTTGTCTTTATGTTTGAACCTCCCATTTTGATTTTTGATTAAGTGCCACCATTACATTGTGAAAGAGTGAAGCAGGATCAGGCACCCCCTGAGGATGGAGCTCCATATGGCTGCTTTTTAGAGTGTCCCGGGGTCTTCTGTGCTTAGTACTTTCTGTTGTCTCAGCCAGAATAGCTCCACATTCTCATTAGGTAGCTCTCCAGAATTTAGGTCCATACCTCTGGTAATCTGATTCAAGCTGCTGGGACCAAGAAATGAATTCTCATGTGCTATTGGAGCTTGATTTTTAAGGTAAGAAGGGAAACTTTTGACATTCATGACATCCCTTACATAAAAAAGATCATCATGTCATCCCCTGACCACACCTTAAAAATTGCAGCTGATAGCTTTCAGAATAAAAATAAAATTTAAATGTATGTATTTAAATGTATTTCCCTTTTTCTTCTATCACAAAACAAGGTGTTTAGCTATATTTATTCTTTAGTAAATGAGCAGTTTAATGGCTTAGTGGTGTTTTGCAATATAACCCCCCTCTAGTCTTCCCATCCACCCTTCACCTGATCATATGAGAAACAAATCCAACAGCTGAGCCTGCTGCCCTCATTCTGCTTGTCCTGCACTACTGAGACACAGCAGGGAAAAAGTGACCCAGAAGGGCAGACAAGAACTCTCTCACTTGCAGGATAATCCTTTCATGGTGTGACAGAGCTGCTCCAAAAGACCCAGGGCTATCAGGGCAGCGTGCAGGAGAAAGCAGAGCAGCTTCCCAGCTTCTCTGGGAAGCTATGTCAAGGGTTAGGCCATTCAGGGACTTAAACTACAGTCAGAAAGTGAAAAGAAGGTTTTCTCCTGCCTCAGGGGTGAATCATCACATGCATCAGAGACTCCAGCCCTGTTTCCCAGCCTGGCATTTCAGTAGGAAAGGGATCTGCTCTAATGATTTTTCTTTGTAATTTAAACTCACTGGAAAGAAGAAAAGTGAGAACCAGTTTTCTTTTTCTTCATAGTGCTTGCTCAGACATTTGGGTGTCATTAACAGCAGGAAATAGGCCTGTGACCCTGGCTGAAGCAATGGGACATAGCCACAGACATGATCTGTGAGCACCCTCCCTTGTGCAGCACTGGCTCCTGCCAACCAGCACCCCCAGAGACCTCCCAGGGTCAGTGCTGGGTCTGATGCCTCAGACCAAACCTCAGAGTTTGGCTTTTGCATTTTTCAGATTCTGTGCTGCTTTGGTGTGTAGTTCTGAGCTTCATGTTGGGGGATGGTAAGCTCTCCTGGCAGAGTGGGTGGACAAAGCAATTCCTTCTCTAGCTCAGGACCAAGACCAGCTGATCCAAATCTCAGGCCCAAGATCATAAACAATGGTGGACTGAAGAGAAAAAGACAAGAAGGATGGGACTTCATAATCTAAAGCTGTAATTGGACAATTAACTCCAATTTGCTAATGGACCAGAACTTATCAAAATGATAGACCTTGTGACCCATCTTCCATTTTGTGACCATTTTGGGTTCATCTTGGGTGTAGCCCTGGCTGGGCTCTTGTACTGCCCAAGGTGTATCCATTGAGGCCTTTTGATAAATACCTACTTTATTCTTTAACTCAGTCCAGCCTCTGTTCTAGGTCAGCCTTTACAAGGCATCAGGTCCAGCTGTGCCTGACACTGCTCCCAAATGCAGTTTGGGCATCACCACTTTGTGCTGGAAGGAGGAAAGAAGAGGACATGGGCAGTGTCATGTCCTTGGCCTCAGGCAACCTTTGACTTGTTTTGTTTAAAGCTGGCCAAAGTGTCCTTAGCACACAAAAGGAAACTGCCTGCAATGTCCTGCTGAAAGCAGATTGATAAAGGGAAAGGATCAGAGAGAAACATGCAACTGGAAAAAAAAGCTGGTTCTATAGAATCTGAAACTTACAGAATGGAGTAAGAAAAAGAGGACTGTGACTTGGCAGAATGTTTACAAAATTACTCCATCACATCTAATTCACCTTTTATATTTTCTTTGTTTTACACAGATTCCCTTAAAAATTTAAATGTGGCATAGCTTTCAAGAAGATGAAGTACTTGACATGAAGATCAAAAAAGCAACTCTGACTCTGAATTTTATACCTGGTTATTTAAGGACCATGAGTAGTCATGCAAGCATAGATATATATGACTTCTGGTACTTTTTCAGTCAAACATGAATATATTACTGAAAGATACCCAAGACTGAGCAGATCTATGTTATACCATGAAAGAAAAATCAGGGAGAGGATTCAGGTTCAGTGTTTATATTGATCAATATAAATTAATGCAGACAGAAATTAATTGTCAGGGCTCCAAGGCTGCAATCTTCTGAACAGAAATACAACCAGAAAAAAGTTTGTCAGTAGCCTCAACTATAACATAACACGATAGCCGAAAATAATATCTGAAAATATCTTATATTGTCCTTTTGGGACATTGCTCAGTTTTAAACACCCATCCTTCAAACTATCTACTGGAAGCAGAGCAAGAGCAATGACAAATCAAAACACTAACAGGGACAGAGAGAAGAGAGATTTCAGTGAGCTGTACTGCACCTACAGGAAAAGAGATGAATAGAGGTAATACTATGGTTTTGTAAATTGGTGAAAGTGATACAGATAATGATCCTATTTTCTATTTCACTAGGAAACCTAGTGCTACTGGAAGGAAAGAAATATGCTTATTATAAAGAGACAAAATAAAGAACATTTCAAATCCTGTCTCATTAAGCACTGGTGCCTTCTGACATGGAGTATCATTGAAACCAGGATATTACATTTCTTCTGAAAAAGATTTGCTATTCCTATTAATGAGATGGAGAAAACTCTTCCACTAGGTAAAATTAATTAGTCAGGCATTAAAGACATTTTGCAACCTCCTCAGAAGCCTCAGGGACAGACGATGCTTGAGCTATTCAGCAGTGCAGCAATACCTGTATTTAAAAAGGTTGCTGGGACTATGCTCTCTGAAAATC